TGGTGATTTTATGCACATTTCCGTATTTTCTCTTTAAATTTATTCAAATTCGACATTACTTTCTGACGGCATTTCAAGAATGCATGAAGATAATTCACTATCGGATGAGAGATCATAACTACATTTTTATTCTTTTAAATCCGCCTTTTAAATTCTTTTAAATCCTAAAATGTTCTAGAACGGCAATTTAGACTTGATAAAAGTTAGAAACACGTAGCGATCTTTTATACTTTAAGAGCATAGTTTTATTTTCGTTTACATCTTTATTATGAAATAGTATACTGGAAAACATAACTAAATGATGGACAGAAAAAAAAAATGCTTGTCTTAAAATATTATTTCAAACAAAGCTTTTTTCAGCTAACAAGAATTCACATTAATTTATCATTCCGTATTTTTGACAACCTTTATTTCCGCTTTTATAATTTGCAATACTGATCTCTTCTAAAGGTTTAAAAGTTGTTAAGAATTTCATTCCGAATGCCCATTCCTGTCAGAGTTTAACTTTCTTTAGAGATTTTTAAATAAAAGACAAAAGATTTGAACCGTTACTTGTTTATCAACTGGAGTTTTTTTTAATTCAATTTAAATTCAGCAATAATTATTCAGTTAATTAGAACATTAAAAATTTAACAGCAATAACATTGGATTGTTGTTATATATATAGATCATTTCCGACTTCGATGAGTCCCACCATTTATCACGTGAATGAAACTATTGAATACTGCTATTTTCTACTGAGTTCATTTCCTAAAGAAGTAACTTAAATGAAAACGGGTAAATAAACTAAACGCATAATTTAAAAGAAACTATCCGTTTTCTTTATGCGTAATGTAAACATATACAGCTAAAACGGAAGAAGACAAATAGTAGCTTCTTTCTCTCCTGTAAAGCTGTAGCTGTAAAATGCTTGAAATTAACTTTAACTTACATATTTCTACATCCGAAGCTAACAAAGAACGCTTAAACCAAATTTAAATTTTTAGTTCTTAATTTTAATTTACTAAAAAAATTCAAGAATTATTTTTATCAAAAATATAAAATAATTATATCTAATGCGAATATCAGCTGTTAATCAAATTGGCTTGGAAGCAGGCAGAATTAAAATTTGTAGATTCATAGTACATTTTTATGTAATTTTGGACAAACACATATTCCATTTTAAAATTTGTCCTTCACTTCATGGTTCGTTTCTTTGAACAGTGGAAAGCACGGAAGGATTACCATTTTAAGTGTAGGCAAGGAGAGATGCATTCATAGAGAATGCATAGGAAAATGGATTTTTACACTTACGGGAAATCGCAAAACATCCGCATGCCTTTTACAGGTACAAGAGCACATCCGACTGTATGCCGGCTGCATGTTAAGTCTTGGAGCATATGGCAAAATTCTTTGTATTTTAATGTATTATATTGTAATCTGCATGATAATTTAAAATGTGGTTTTTAAATCTAACTAAAATACCATTCTAAGCTAGAAGATTTATCACATGAAACTATTCCGAAACAAGTTTATCGATGTAGAACTTCAGAAGATGGCGCCACAGTATACTTGTATATATTTGATCTTGGTCGTGTACGCTGTTGTAGACAATTCATGAGCAAAGAAAATGTTTGCAGCTTTAATTTTTTGAAAGAAATAATTATTTTTTCTTCCTTTTATGAAGATGTTGGAATTTCTCTTTTATTCTCTTTGGCTCTTTGCTTCGTGACAGAATATTTTTTAATTCTTTTCATTAGGTTACTGAAGTAAGATAAAAAATATCTACATTCCTGTTAAATACGTAAGAAAGATTATTTTCATTGAATCTCACTTCACTGAAGTTGAAATCCGGTGAGTCTTTTCAAAATATCATCTCTACACCGAAAACCGAAAGGAGGAAAAAGGGGGGAAGAGAATAAAACAAAATAGCTCAATGTTCTCTAGATAATAATAAAGATTGATGATATCTTCATTTACAAAAGATCTGTACACCCCAGCTGACTCAGTGTTTTTTCATATTCATATTTATGTCATAGAAAAAAATTTTAGAATGAAAAGAAATTCATTACTTAAAAAGTATAATTTCATTGCAGAATTAATATGATGAAACTTTATTTTATAGTCAAAGTTTGCAAAATCGGCGATTAACAGTTTCAGGAAATTATAAGTTCTTCTGCTCAAAAGAACTGAATTTCCATGTTCATTTTAGGTTTAAAGAAAATAATAAAGTATTCAGCTCGACGAGCGGAAAAAAAAGACATGAACTTTGGCGTTCATAGCTAAAATAACCAACTGCAACTTTGATCTTCATTCAAACAATGCTTGCCTTCTTCTGTGGTACTGGAGTAAGCTTATAAAAGAGTAATTGGCTCTCCAACTACACTGCATAAGCCTGGATTTAGAAGAGAAATGAGGTAAAAGAAAGTTACTTAGGCTAGGTAAAAACCTCACAGGGTGATTGATTTATTGTGGAAAGGCAACAGTTAAATATTATTCTCTTAACAGAGCAAATATAGAAGTTAGATTATTAATAAATAAATGCAAAGCATGAGAGAATTAAAAAGAGAAGCATTTAAGCATTTGTGGACAGCTGCCTAAGAAAGCGTCTTGAATTTTAATTCTGAGAATTGCAAAAGCATTCTTGCATCAGCCTACTTAACCATATTTAACTGAAACTTTGGTAAATCTCTCTCTTCAGAGACTTTGGACATTCCTGACCTTTTTTCTTCCAACCCCTTTTAAAAGAACGGTTTTCGTCATCGACCTGCTCGCAGATTCTAACTGTCCCAAAATTCCATTTTAATTAATGTGACGGTTGTGCTTGATGCACTGATGCAATTTTTTGAATATTTAGCTATAATTGCTTAATTCTTAAATCACATCGTTCAGAGTTATTCAGTCTCCTTCTCGTTTTCCCTAGTAAATTATTGACTTGATTATGGCGTATTTTCGTTGCGTAAGAGGAGGGGAACGTTATTTTAAATCCGTTACACAATTTTAATTTTCGGATATTTCTTTCGAATTATTTTTATGTTCCAATACTTAGCGTAGCCGTGTGTTTTGAATAAGATTTGGTTAATTTGTATGATCAAGTTTTTATATCAATAAACGATTAATTATTAATTTTACTAACATGTTTTTTGTAATGAACGATATTTTGATCATGCCGATCAACTGCATATTTAGCTATCGACCCCTCGATCCTCATAGACCACCGTTAAAATTTCATAAATCCCCCAGGGGGTCCGTATCGAACCTTTTTGGGAGCTCGTGCTTTCGAACTTGGCTTGTTAAGAAATTAAGGAAGAATAATTATAATGTAGGGTTATTATTTGAATCTAAGCATTTATGATTTAGATCTTTACTATAACTTCTCCTTTCCGTTTCCTTACCAGAATATTAATCCGTTAGACAGTATTTAAACTGAGGTTTTGGCATTGTAAGACAGAGTGTGTTTCTCCCCCTTGTGACCACGCAACATAATTCCTGACAGCTCTGATTAAGTTTGAAAATATTCGACCTTGCATTATTTGCTGCCCACATTTAAAGCTGATACGGCGATTAGAAGTTTTATTATTATTATTATTATCCACTTTTATCACACCCGAACAAGCCTTCTGCAGGAGGTCAACAGCTTTCAACATAAATCAAACATCGAAATTTATTTACACATTATCTAATAGTTCCCAAAATACAAAATCTTCTAAATAGATAACATTCGTATTTTTCACTTTCAAAAGCCCTTTCGGCAACTTCTGGACAAAAAATTTTTCTGATTTTTACTTCCTTGTACGAAGTAAAAAGGAAGTATTGTAATCGCGAAAAGTTTCAGGCAGCATATTTCAACGAAAATATCCATTTTGACTGCTATCGAATGCAATTTAACGATGTTTACGACTGATCCTCATTTCGCGCTTGCTATTTCCCTTTTTAGAGGTGGGTGAATCAAACCAATCGTTAGCTTCCGCACAGAGTAGTGACAAAGAGAAAATGAACATTCCGAGACAACATTTCCTTTCGTAAAGTTGTTCAAAGAATTTCATAGAATGGTCGAAAGGATCTTACAAAGATGACAAATCTACAAGCGTTATTTCGCAAAATTTTTCTATTTATTTCATCCTTGCATTTAATTTACTAATTTACTGTTCTGATATACAAAGGCTTCATTTTAATAGGGGAGAAAGAATATAGTATATAAAAACATATCGTGGCGTAGCTTCAAATCTGGCAAATATCTATAAAAGTATTGAACACTAGAAATGCATGAAATGATCTGTCTACGAAATTCTCATTTTGGAAGTTACATTTCATTTTAAAGAACAAAAATGTAATAAGTTTTTCATTAAATAATAGTATTTATTTTCTTTGACTTTAGGAAAATAAAAACTTATTAAACTGTATTTGATAGCTATTATCGATGATAATGGTTACATAAATGTATTAAAAATAAGTATTTAATGCTACCTTAATGCGTCACAAGGAATCACTAGTGATCCTTCTTAGAAGACGGACACAGATTTGTTTAACAAATTTGATTCAGTACTTTTTCAACTACGGTTTGGGGATAAAAAGGAATAAAAATTTTGTTAGAATTATTAAAATATTTTTTATGATAAAGTTTGCAGAAATTTTATTATTAACTCTTTATTCCTATTGTTTAATCTTCAACTTTTTTTATATTTTACTTTTCTTAAGTCTAAAATATTTTGAAATTTTTCAGCTATCTTTATGTTAATCTGATATAATTTTAAAATTTAACCATTGGTACCCGAATTTGACTCAGTTTTATTTTATCCAGTAAATAATAATACAAAATTGTATTTCCTCTAATATGTTCCACGGAATACATACTTCTTAAATTTTATTATTTTACATCATTTAAGCAAATGCATAAAATGACATACATCTAGAAATAATTGCAGTGAATTAAAATGAAAGATTTTCTCAAAATTTATTCTTTTCATTTCTTTAGTATATACTAACACAAATAGCGATGTATTAAACAACAGAATACTTACTGGTAATTTACTGCTTATAAGCAAATCCACGACGACACCACGGAGCGTGTCTCGGTTTTTGTCCAAGAATCCATCAACAGAATACCACACCTGCCCCGCATAGTGTTTGACTCCAAATTCCATGGAAGACATTCGGGGACGACTGTACAATTCGTTCAGAGCATGATTGTAGTGACATTTTTCCAGGAAAGACAGATCAGTTGCCTGCAGTTATTTTATAAACATAAACTCTTTGAAGGGAATTTTATTTAGAAACTTAACTCTATCTAAACTTTAAAGACCCCACCGCATAACTACTACTTTTTTCTCTTGAAAGATATTACTTACATACAGCATATGAGTATTAATATAGTTAAGTAAACTTAAAAACTGTTTCATTTTGATTAAATCTATTATGGAAACGTCTGTAGCGTTAAAAAAATATATATCCCTTAGGTGACTCGTTAGGTCAGGTGCTATTCAGCGTTTCTGCATTACATAATTATATGCAAATAACGCTTGAAACATGATACTAACATGATGGTGATGATGCTTAACAGTTATCAACAGCAAAGAAATTCATGTAGATTCGAGTCTAACCACTTCTTTGAGAATTCAGTTTTCTGAATGAATAACAAAAATCAATGAAAGAATGCTTCGATTTCATCTTCTATAATCTAACCTCATTTTAATATCCTAATTATATTTATAAATCTGAAGTATTTTATTAATATCGTATTAGGAAGAAGTGGTAATTCCTTATGAATTCTAAATTTTTAAGACATTAAGCAAAACTAATAAAAAGTCAGAACAAACTATTCTTTGCTGTGACAACTAAGAAAATAAATTAGACTTGCTCCAGAAATCAAAGATAATTTTTCAAATTAATAAAAATTTTGAACCTCCCATATAAGCTTAATCCTTCATCTGATGTGATTTATCTTCTACTGGCTAATTAAAAAATCTTAAAACTTTAAATAGTATACTTAATAAGTGGAAAAAATATTCTTGCAAATGTTTAGGACATGTTGTTCTCATACATAAAATATATAAAATATTTGCAACTACATTTATCGTTTAATTGATTTTATTGAAGCAAATTCGGATTAATCATATTTCATTGCAGAAAAAACTATGTAATTTTAAATAAAATCAAGGGCATAAGAAATATATTATACAAGAAACAGTATGAGAATGTAGGAAATATTGATTGTAAATTTAAGTAAATATATTTGAAGTTGATTTTTTTCACTTTTTAATCTCTGTATAAGGTGTTTCCTCAATCCTTTCCACATGCCTTCGTGATGTAATTGGAAAGCTCGCTCGGCGCGTGTTTAAGAGATCTGAGTTAGAATCTCGGGGACAACACTGCACATTTTTCACATTCCTGCATCGGTATAATTAAATGACTTCGCAACTGGTTTATTACTTTAAATCTTAAGCGGGTGGTTATCTGCACCCGAAGAAATATTGCTAAAATAACATGAAATTACTTTTTTAAATAACTAAATATGTTATTATATATTTTCAAAATATATTTAGTTAATAATTAAATAGTTTGTTGATATGTACAACAAGAGAGTTTCTGTTTTTTTAATAGAGCACATAATTGCATACACTTCAGCATAAAAATTTAATAAGTAATTTCCTATTGATGTCCGTAAAACTCCATAGGCATTCCAAATTCAAGAAAAATTGTCATGATTACCTTTGGAAAATTGCTCTCATCGTCTAGAAGTGGCAATATACCCACTGGCTTCTTAGCAATCAGATTGAGCACGGGTTGATTATCCTGGTAGTTAATTGGCTGCCATTCGATTCGTTCTTTCGCATACTCTTGCTGCTCTAATTTAAACACGTGTTTATTGAAATAGTACTGCAGAGTTTCATTCGCGTAGTTAATGCAGAGCTGTTCGAAACTGTTTTCTTTGAAGTCCTGAAAAAAGGAAACAAAAATAGGAATCATGGTCTCAAGATTATAGGAATCGCAAACAACAGAGAAAGTTAAATAAATATTTTAGCAACAAGAGTTAATTGAAATTTGGCAACTATAAAAATTATAGTCATCCAAATACGTATTTTAAAATGTTATCTGTAGCCTAGACAGGTCAAAACCTTAGTACGGCTTGCGAATAAATAACAGTTCGTTAGTTTTATCCTGTTGACATCTTGCGACAAAATAACAAGTCATCAATTTTGGTCTCTTGACAAACAACTGAAATGTTCTGCAATTTTGTTTAAAAAAATTACTTTCCTACGATTTACTAAACGCTGATATATCTTGTTATTTCTACAACACCAACGATATTTCGTACTCTGTTAATGGCATAAAATATATTAAACAGTTGTAACTATAATAATACATAAGTTAACTAACCTAAATGTAATACAAGTTTAAAATAACGCCTTAGTTAAACGCTTATTAGAACTGTTAGTTGTTAATACGGCTTACTCCCTCCCTAAAGCTGAGTTTTTATCTTATTTTTTATTGATCTCCTTGCCGAACAAAAGTCCCAAACGTATGCAGAACGATAACATTTGAATGGATTGTTTGAAAATATCAATTTCTAAATTTACAAATTTTTATTTGAACATCTGCCTTGTTTAAACAGACAAAATCTGCATGGCAATCGAATATTAATATCAGGAAAATTTAAATTTTGGCCTATATAACTTTGCCTTCTGTATAATACAAGATTAAATTAATTCATAAGCCTTTTCGAAATTATTTGTTCCTAAAAAAGACATACGTTCTGCTTTTTATTAAAAATGTACTGAACTGCTTTGATTGAAATTAATGTCAAATCCGATTGAGTTTTTTCAGTTATTGACTTTTCTCAGCTTTTACTGTAAGTATACAAATATTTTTAAAAAATAGTATGATTAACAACGACAAAAATCTTACTTCAAATCCGAAGATATCTAAAATGGCTATCGAAGTTTTTCTGGGGCCTTTGAAAACTATGTTATTAACACGTTGCACAAGCCAAGAAAATAAGCTTGAATATAAAGCTTTCGCAATGGCATCCCTGAAAATATTAAAAATTACGTATAAGAATTGAAGTTAAGTCCATTTTCATATAATGCATAAGAAATATATGGAATTTGCAAGGACAGACATTTCAGTAATGTGCAGAATAATTTATTACTCTGCTCAAGATGGAAATTAAATTTCAATCACTTCTTAGCCGAAGCTCACTCTTTCATTCATTACTGAAATTAACAATGGAACTACTTCCTCACCTGGCATCCAAAGCTTGATCGATATTCAAAGGTGTGACCACTCGTTCGTTCCTCGCCTCCTGAAAAGTTAAAAAATAGCAGATATTAGGTGTTCTTACATTTGTCAAAATTTATTTTAACGAATTAAATTATTAAATTTTAACAAATGTCTTTAGAGCTTAAATAAAAACGGCTTACCAAAAACATTCATTAAATAAACTCATAATGTAGGATTTTAAGGAAAGGAAAACATACTGGCATGCATAAAAAGTTTACATACGTAATAAAGCTTAATACGATAGTATCCTGATTATTCAAGGTAAAGTCTAATGATACTTTCTAAAATACCTGAAAATTTAATTAAAATAAAACACTGCAACTACTTCAGCTAAAATTTATGGCTATGAGAAATTTCCCTTACATCTATAGTGCAATGTCCTTTTTAGACCTCGTTTAATTCTTATGGAAGATGATGTTATGAAAAATGCATGTGTAAAGTTATAGAGCTTATTTCTGAATATCAGTAAAATTACAAAATGATAATTAATGGCAATTTTGACTAACTTTCTTTACTTGGATAATTTTATTTATTTATGTGTTTTTACTGTCTACTTGCACAAAAAGTGAAATAGGATTTGTTATTTATTCTTTTTTTTTTTTTTTTTTTTTTTTTTTTTTTTAATAGTAGAGATATCTGCTGTTTAGGCTTCAGTGATCAAACTGAGAAAAACTATAGTTTTTTCCCTAGCACATAGCATTTATCATTAATATGTCGACTTCAAAGATCTTTACAACTATTCTTATTTAAATTCTTTATATATTTGGTACCTGCAAGCTAGTTTGTTTCCCAAAGTGGAGCTTTGTTCTAAAGACGTCATTTTGAAGACATTTTCAGATATTCAGAAAAAAAAATGAGGGATTAAAGATCAGTCAAACATTAACTTTGACAAAGAACTTGGTGGGAGATACATAACACTAGAAAGAATGTTTGCAAACAGAAAAGAAATGACTAAATCTACTTTTTCAAAATTATAATTTTTTTTATGCTTCCTCTTCTAAAATTTTATACATTCATTATGAATAAAAAGAAAGAAGAACAATTTCATACCGACTTTCTGCTTCATCACTTATTATGAAACTGTATGTATTTTCATACACTGAAGTTTAATGCACAGTGATAGGGGGAAGCCACTCATACTGCAATAATAATTTATGATTTTGTAAAAGATACTTCCGAATTTTATTCTAGTCATTCTTCCCTTTAGTACTATATTTTGCTCTTGCTTAATATCATTATGTCTGCACGTTTAATATTTTTCTGTTCTTCAGTAAGTGAAAATACTGCGTCGAAAGTATTTAAAACACTTGTATGAGAAACTTGGAGCACACATTCTTTGCTCGAGGGTAAGCTTCATTCCCCCCTCAAAGTCTTCATGACTTATAAACAAAAAAGTTTTGTTTTGGATATGCAACAACATGTGCACTGCAGCCGTATTTCTGATATCTGAAAATGTTCTCTCATCGCATAGCTTTAAAGTGCTCGAGGCTGAAGGGCGATTTTGACTAGGTTCTTTGGATTATCATGTTTCGTAGAAAAAAGTCCTCAGTTAGAACCTCCATCACAACAAAGCAATAAATCAACTTTCCAACCTTCTCTAGTTCCACCTACCAGCAAACATAGGCGTCAACAAATCCTGACGAGCTTTTTTCAACAATAAATTTACTACGTAGAAATGATGCCATGAAATCAAACTCGGTCGAAAGGCAGCAGCACCAAGTACTGCCATCGGAGTGATAACTCGTTTCTATTAATGCGTCTCTCTCTTTCTCTCCACCAGGCAAAACAAATAAAAAAGTAAAATAAATCATTATTCACATTATACACATCTCACAAAAACAAAATTTGTAAAAAAGAGAATACCCAGATTATGGCTGATAACTTTTCGATATCACGTTAGATTTAGAGACGAAGAAAACATTATTTCATCAAAGTTCTAAACAAACAACGAACATGCAAACACGGCCTTTTTTTTCCTCACAGAATAAGAGATTTTTTTGTTCATAAAAAGAACGAAGAAAAATCTGAACAAAATATAATGCCACCTAGAATCAAAAGAGGCAAATGGAATTTTCCATAGATAAACTGCGTTCCCCTCTTCTTTCTCTGTTTTTTTTTTTTTTTTTTTTTTTTTTTTTTTTTAATATTTTTTAGTAAAAGGTCTAGCATGTCTGACATCCAAATCATCACAAGTCCTAACATAATCGCGGAGAAATTGTAACTTATTCTCCGCAGGTAACGCGAAACTGTCGTATGAAAATGAAACTGATGAATCCAGAAAGTGTGGCCTCAGCATATGCATGATCACCATGCCAGAGAAGGCAGACTTATTGCAAGCACGACAATTACGGATTACACAGTCCCATTACGACCAGTTCAGCAATTAGGGTGTGTGGCTCAGAAGAACACTTCAGGTATATTTGAAATCATCTCTAACATTATGCATTATTTGTATGGTGAAAATTGTTTCGCCTACCTTGAAAGGTTCCATACAAGCTTCTGCCCCAATAGTACAAAGACTCATGTTTTATGTGAACATCATGATGGGGACCGAATCACGTTATCTTGCATATGGGTAGTTATTATGGCTAAGATCCATGGTAAAAGATGCCATTGGAAAAATTTCTCTCTTATATCTAGCTCGCATATTTGCTATTCTGACCACTCAGATTTAAATGGCAGATATGTTACAGCCTTTGGCTATACAATACTTCAGGACTTCTGTACAGCCACCTTCCAGTATAAATACGAGATCGTACGTCACACAAAACGTCCAGCATTTCCTGTGTAAACAGCACCTATCCTTCTGAACTGGCTGGGCTTTCCATGATTTATTGCCTATATCACACATCTAATTTTTGATTGCACAGAGTCTGGCATTCACTGGTGGCTGCAACATATGAACTCTAGTCAGGAATTAAATTTTACGTATTAAAGTTTCCGAAGTTGTCAGGATTTATTCTATTCTGTGTTTGAACTTGCAATAGCTTTTTATTTGGCCTCTGCTGGTTACCACGTAACACTGATCTCGGCAAGTTTTCATCTTTATATTATAACATATTTATAAAATAAACACGATTTTATAACTTTTGTTCTTTATGATACTGCAATTTTATCAACCAGGAATACATTAATGGGTACCATAATCAATAGTCTGTAATCACCAGTCATGGTGATAAATGGAAGGAGCAGCTCTGTTGGCATGTTGGGAGATGAGGGCAGTTGTCGTAGCCTTTAAATCCTAGTAGGTAGGCATGCTAGTTTAAGTGCATATTACCTTCTTGCTTGGACGTACTTAAAAGACGACTGAAGCGAAAACCCTTTCGAAGGGCTGTTGATAGAAAAGAGGGACCTGTCCACTCGATGGATTCTGCTTCAAAATTAGGATGGAAGTGAGCAAACACGTATTTTCATCTATAAGGTACTAGATGTCTAAACCAACGATGGGCGCACCGTGTCTTTTTGGCCACGATAAATTTCGTAGACCTGATCTCGCTGTTCAGTCCAACACGATTAAAAATGACACAACAAATGGACGGTTTTCATTCGCAAATCGAGAAAATCCAGTAACGGTTTTCAATGATTCAATGCAAACTCTTGACAAATACAGTATACTGTGTTTCATATATGGCAAAGAGAAAACGGCTTTATATTTGATAAATTATTATTATATTAAATTTTGTTTACTTTCATTGTAAATCTTACATGCAAGTCAACTCTTACAAAATTTACGCAATTTCATCCCTAAATATTCTTCCATATCCTACATTTTAAATTTAGATAAATAATTTTTAAACCAAAATTTAACTTGAGATAAGATTTATTTATAATAACTTCTTGATAGTTTACGATAATATTGCTTTACCTCTATTTTTTATTTTCGAACTTGTTAAAATATGCATATTGTCCTCAAAATACATTATTTGGAACAGACACAGATCTGCTTTTTTATCCCGATTATGCTTAGAAATTTTGTGCACACGTACTGCCTATTAAAAATCAAAACGAAGTGAAAGTAAGTGCAACTAGCTCGTTTTTCAGAAAACTGCAATCAAAGAGTTATGATTCAGCTCATTAATAACTGAAAACATTCTTAAACAGTTAAAAGCACTAAATGAAAAAAATGATATGTTTAAGATTTTTTATTCCTGCTTAGATCATTTTTCTCATTTTTTTATTTAAAACACTAATTATTTAATATTCCCAAATCTTCAGTTATAGCTTCATTTTATAGATACTTATTTTTATTAAATTTAAATTGAACGTTTTTATCTTCCACATCAAATCTCGTCAAATGTATCTTAAGGGCTCTGAAGTGAGAATGGAAGGAAATTAAAAAAGGATAAGTAATTAAGCTGGAACTGTTTAAATTTTGCTCTGAAATAGCTTCTTTTGAAAGAAAAAGAACCTCTGAATTTAAATCATGCTTCTTCAATAAATTTTGCTTTACAAATTTAATTGCTTTATAATTATTCTTAAATCTTGGTTTTATAAAATGGCACTTCGCCTCTAACGAAATTTTATTTACATCAAAAACAACTCCAGCTTTTTTAATTCAAGAAAGGAAATCCGCCTTAAAGAAAAATAAAATTAAAAGAAACTTCTATGCAATGAAATATGTATAATAACAGAAGTAATTTTCATTAGCATTAAAGAAGAAAACAGAGGAAATGAAAATTCACTAATCTTTACTTTTATTTAAATACTTATTCTATATATAACTGCATGCAAGCCATAATTTTTTAAGTTCTTTGTCTTGCAAATTTAGTATTATATAACTGTAGGCAAATTATATGACACAGATAATAAGTTCACTATATAACTGTATGCAAGTCCAACTTCAGGATTCTTTGTATACGGTTTATCATATATTTTCACTCTGAGTTATATTATAAGACAGCAGTCGAAAATAAAGGTTAAAAGATTAACGTACAACTGCCTGAACAAGTTTCATGCCAGCTAAAATCTGTTACATGCGAAAACGAGTCTTGATTTCGCAAGCCTGTTTTTTTTACTCTTGTGATTTTCGCCCTTTTGACATCCATTCCTGTACATTACTCATATTTTGTTTTCTTAAAAAAAAACTCCTTTTTTATTTTTTTTAATTCTCTATTATTGATTTCGCTTTTGACACCCAAATGAAAAATGTTTTTGTAACTCTTGTAGTTTCTTAAAATTGGGAATAACTTTTCTCATTGACAGACGGTTAAATTGTGCGGAATACAGTAGAAATCGTCTGTTAAAGAAAATTCAGTCATATGATTCCACCACACTGATTTATTACTTTAATTCAAGCTCGTTAAAAAGTTATCACTTTTATTTTCTATATCATGACGCTTGAGTTGCATGCAATTTTAAGCAGTTTAATACTGTGGGTATTGACAAAACATTAGCATTATCTACAAAACTATCGCTCACCACACAGAAATTCCTACCTCCATTCTTTCGCAAGAATAATTCTGATAGCATTTACTTTTGATAAATAAAGTAGCTGGGAAATTGATTAATTGAAGTCATTATTATTGTACTTGAATAAACATAATGCAAATTCGGAACCACTTTTCCTTTTGATTTTTTCTTTCTTCTGGAGATTTGTTGCGCACTTTTCCTTGCACAAACAGGCATGTAAAAATTCAGCATCAAGGAGAAGAAACTACGGAATATTATTTTGAAAATCATTTATGAATTATTTTGTTTTAGAAAACCAATATTCGTCATAAAGTGGTAATATTGTCACGTAGTCCACACAAGTATAACTGCTTCCCATTAGTAGTTTGAATCGGGTTCAAGTTACGACGAATGGCCAGGCATTTCCATTGTTTTTTGACATGTGTAACGTGAATATGAGCCATTTTCTTGAAGAAAAACTTCCATAAGACCATCCTTTGTCTTAGGCAGATCTTATGTCTTAGGCTAATGTGCTTTGCCATAATCAGAGAATCAAATATCACCACATGAAACCCTTATTCTTTAATTGATTTCACGTTTCCTTCGCGGAGAAAAAAAAATTACAGTCGAATTAATATCGGAGATATAAAATATCCCAGATGACTCAAAATGTTGTAAAATCTTAAGAATACAATCATAAAAAAAAAAAAAATCTCCACTTATTCAGTCAGAGCAACTTTTAAATCTTTTGCGAGAAATTTGATAAATATCTTTTTTCTAAATTCATTACTGAAATAATTACATGATCCATTGACACAGGGAAGACTAACCCAGTTTTTAGCACCAATGAAACGAAGAATATGTAGGATTAACGAAAAAATAAGTTACAAATGAAAACAGATATTCAAAATGCAAAGCTTGAGAAAGTGCTATTAAAACTTCAAGAATTTCTGCCAGAAGATACAAGAAACATGAAACATATATATCCATATAATACAAAGTTCGAAATATATTTTTATTTACATTTTTAGTGGAAGAGTTAACTTGTAATCTTTCAAACATTCGCGAATTTGACCGACTTTCTACAAATTACTACATTTACAACAATCAAAGTACAGGGCACCAGAGATTCCTAAATAGATGCATGCAAGAGAGAAAATACTTAATATCAAAAGCATTAATTACTATTGTAAAGAAATGTTTGTCATTAAAATGATTGTAAGCAAAATAAATATTGCTGATTCATTAATATTCTTGAGAGTGTAATTAACCTTAATTGAAACGCACCATCCCAGAAAATAGGTTATTGCGTTAAAAATTTACATAATTATATATCTTTCTATATATTTTGCTCTTTCGATCTGCACCATGTACTGTTATTCAAAACTGTAAAAGCGTATTCTTTGTACATACCTAGTTTAGATCTTAACTGGTTATTCATATCTAAGTAATCTAACCGTACGTATAGTATATGTTCATATATACGTATAATATATGTCATGTTTTGTCATGTTCTATTATTCATGTAATATTCATTTAATGTTCTAAGATAGCTTGTAAAAGATATAGAATACATCCGCTGAGCTGGCCAACCATCCTCGCACGGTTAACTCCAAGGCAAAGGCCAAAGGCGTTCTGTTCTGTACGGAGGATATCTGGTATGTCTAGCATCATATGCACTAATCACTAGCTTTCAAGATAGCAAGGAATGAAAGAAATGATGAATTTTTCCTTTGTAGCCAAGTTGAAACCTGTAAACCTGAATTTAATGAAATAAATTTAAGTAAAAGCGGTATGTCTAAAGAGATTGCTCGTCTACAGACTAATCCAAAAAGTAAGTAACGCTTGGGTATTAAAAAAGATTAGCAATTTCTTTCCATTTGTATTATATTACAGAAAAATCTATACACCTTAAATTGCTTTTCGACACATTCACCTTACGAATTAAGCATGGTCATATCTTGGCACTAATTGTAGAAGGCGGCCGCCTGAGACCTGAAACAGTTTCAGACGATTACCTTGATCTCATCATGACTTACAAAGTGCTGGCTTGAGATGAGAAAAAAAAAATGGAACTAGGTCCGTACATTATAGGGAAATGACATAAATTTTCCCATCGAAATGAATGAAGCAACGTCATCGTTACGCGTGCGGTGTCATGCACGAACGCAAAACGAGATGTCTCAGTATTCCATGCCTTTTGTTCCGTATAGCTCACAGTAACTTCTTCAGTGTCTCACAGTAAGCTGTAGCGTTGATTGTTCTGCCTCATTCCATAAAGTCCACTGACGAAATTCCTTGACGGTCCCAAAACACAGTTTTCTTGAAGAAAGATGTGCCTTTGCTTTCTTGGGATTCGAGGAACCAGCATGCCGCCATTCCACTGACTGTAGTTTCGTTTCAGGTGACTCGTAATGAATCTATGTTTCATCGCCTGTGACAATCCTTTTCAAAAAATTATTTCCTTCTGCCGTATAACGCTGCGAAAACTCCAAGGCTGCTCCCATGCGTTTCCGCTTTCAAGTGTGCATTAGTTTTTTTCGGCACCCATCGCGAACTCAGTTTTTTTTTTTTTTTTTTTTTTTTTTTTTTAGTGCAAACGTTCGGTCACAATTTAGGGCAATAAAAATCATGATTGTTTTGAAAATGCATTGACAAATCAGAAATCTTGAATCACCTGTTGGAACGAACTTTTTCGTCGATGCAGCGCATCAGTTCTTAGGTGATCAACGACGCCACAGCGCTCCTCGTCGTGGACATTTTCCCTTTTTTCGTTAAGCATCCTAACAAACTTTCGCACCATACCTTCCCTCATACCGTTCTGTGCGAAAGTTTCGCTTCTCCGACGATAAATTTCTCGCATTCAAAATCTTGATAAAGCCTCTTATTTTACAGCTGGCGGACTGATGGATTGTTTTGCACATGATTACCAACAAATAAGGACTTCAAACTTTAACTTAAGCAAACAAAATGACTAGGCTAATTCGTTGTCGAGTTCAGCGATGTGCGATGTATGCGCATCCTGTCCGATGTGGAGATATGCGCAAACGATACTTACTTTTGGGATCAGCTTAGTATAACAGTTCTAAGAAGAATCCCTCACATATGCGGTCAGATTCATTCTACCCATCAAGTGCTTGTTATTGCAATGGTAGGATGAGTTGGACCTGCATGTTCTTAACAAGAATTTAACTCTATTATAACATTTTTAAATTTTGAAAGATTTCCCATCATGCTTGACTTTTGATACTAACCGTAGTTTTTGTAGTCATGGCTCGTAAAATTCCGTCCAGGGATAACTGAAGGAGATGAGAAGCCCAACGTATTTCAGCGTCACTTCCGATTTCTACACCCTCTTGACCATGTTTGAGCTGAAATAAAAATATATTATATGCATATTTCATTGTCTGCTTAGTTCTGAACTCAAACAGTCAATTATCAAAAGTCATAATTTGTTTTTTGCAGAAGTTTTGCACAAAACATGTTTAATCGTATAAGACATTTTACTTTGCACAACTTTTAAATAGCAATTAGATGTAAGAATGGAACAAATACAGATGGTACATGTTTTGCAAAATTTCAAAGGGTGAATTTTAAAACACACGTATATATTTACACTGCAATTAATGAAGAATGGCTAACAACCCTAATTAGGTAATTGATTAATAATTACCGTGAGCAGTTTATGCAATGAAATTTATTATATAAATGTATTAAACATTACTTTACTCCACACAAAACACGAGAAAAGTCAAAAACACCATCTATTATAAATTCTTTACATCCAGAAAAGCAAAACAAAAGCATGGAAGTTTGCTAGAAATATTATTTTTTCCTCTCCCTTTTTTTCAAATAAATTCATAGTAATGCCGGATGTGAAAAATAAGTACACTAAAGTATCAGCAAGTTAATGAAAACGCAGAAAGAATTTACATATTCATATTTCTTCACTTTGCAAAGATTATTATATAACAAATAAATTTATTTAAAAACCCGATTAAATACATTAGGGCTTAAAAAATTACATCTTCGACATAAATGCTTAAAACATATCTATTTTAGTAGCAGAACATGAATTTAAAAGGTAAAGTTCTTACCTGTTTCCTGTGAAAGTAAATATTTCCTAGATGAAGAACTGAAGCTAATATCCTAAAAATCGTGTCTTGTTCTTCAGAAGTGAAACTCAGCACTTGCATAGCTGCCAATAATGCCCTGAAATCCTCTGCATCGTCTTTTGATTTGATCTTGAAGCAACCACCCTAAAAATAAAATGCTTCTGTATAAGTTCAAAGACATTATAAAATATATGTAAAACAGGGATAAGGGATAATCTCGTGATCCACTGTTAGATCACATTTTTCAATAAAAATATTCTTATGCAGTTTTTTTATTAAGTTCTTATTTTATGTCATGAGTTACTACTTTATCCCACAACAGATCTTTGTTATGAGAAATAATTTATCTTTATAATATTTGAGTATGAAAGGGGAAATGCTTCATTTATGACACACATATAAAATTATTCAAACAAATTTATTCTTACTTGAGAAAATTAAAATCCTATAGTAAATTTAACGTTTCAGAAAATGCTTATATCAAAAATACAAAATTAATTTCACTTTTCTATTGCTTGTGTAATACCATTACATTACATTACAACGAGCAACATGAAAACGAATAAGATCTATAAAATTTTGTAACCTACTCTGGATATGATCTTTATTCCTATCAACTTAGTTACCTGCTTTTATGCACCTGATTCCACACTTGCATTGGAAAACTTATAAAATTTTAATGAGTTTTTTTAAATTGAAATTCGTTTAGCGCCTTGTACATTTCGGTTTAAATATCCATGCTTATAGCCTTATCACTTTGGTTTTCACCTTCGAAATTTATTTAAAAAAAAGAGGGGGGCTGAATTTTTATTGCCAGGTCTGATGCGTAGGGCATGAGGGCATTAATAGGGTATGCGTAGGGCTCCAAAACTTGTTTCTTCTGTACACTACGGTTCAGTGAACTTAACGTAGCAAAGCAACCTTTCTCACCTTTGCTGAAATGACGTCTTTTGCTACAAATGGTCATTTGCAGTTTCTCTTAAAATATCACAATAATACGCATCACTGGCAGTTTGAAGTGAAGTGGCCAAGTGAAGAGGCTGAGATTTTGGCATATATTCCCCTTCGTATCGAAATCAAAACTATCAACATTTCTTCTATGCACTTATAGTTTTCCTTCGCCTCTCTGTTGTTGAATATGATTGGCGTTCTTATTTTGAAACCTGTTAGGTTGCCTCAGAACTATAAATTAAACATATTATTAATACTTGGCTTCACTGCATAGAAGATATTCGAGTCCGATCTAAAAGAACGCAAAAATAAAGTATTTAAGTATCTGCACATACTATTATTTTCTGCTTTAACGGAGAGTGATCCTTCTGAATTCTAATCCAAAAAGTTGGCACACTTATTTCACCAGATTTTTTAAATGTGTACACTAATAACTTGTGCAGTAATATGTACACTAATAACTCGTGCAATAATATGCACACTAATAACTCGTGCAATAATGTGTACACTAATAACTCGTGTAATAATGTGTACACTAATAATGCATAAATTACAACACATGTAAACAAAAAAATATCCATTTACAGAAATGCCGCTATGTTTGGCAACAGGCAAATCCACATTACAGCGTATATTTCTTCCCAATGTGTTAAGTGCTGATAAGGATATTTATCACGTATGGCATTTATAATGTTATTCCACAGATCTTTCAACTTGTAACAAGCTTTTAACAGAGCAAACGTGTTTCGTGATTTTCATAGACATTGACTTTTATTTCTTTCCACCTCCAGCGCACTTTATTTGGTATTCCGCTTATAGACGCTTCGCTGATGCTCAGACACATTTATCTGACATTTACAAATGTGTTTCATTATTAAAATTAATAATACTTGCACTGAGAGTTCAAAAATTTGGAAATTGTATAATACAGGGGCGGATGAGATTGGTTAAACGGCAACTTGAAAAAAAGTTCTTCACGTTGCTTGTCGCCTGTCATGACGCAAAAATGCCAGCACATATTCCCGCATTGACGGCTGCTCGCCAAGACACAATCTAGACACAAGGGTGCCCTGGCATAAAGACACAAATGTGCGGCACACTTATGAAGTTCGGCGTCATGAAGAAATTAACCTTTATCAAGGCTGCCAGGAAAGTCATGTGAAGGTCTTAATCTTGGCGAACAGTTGTCTACTTGCAGAAAAGGTGCCAGTATCTTTATAACATTTTGTGAAATCATCCGGATGGAGGGACATGAAAATTCCTTGCATTTATGAAATGGAGATCCGACAGTTATGAACATACGACGAGCTAATGACGACGGAGTTCAGACGTTGACTTTAATATGGTTACCATTATTTTCTCCTTCTATTTTTTAAAGTTTTGTTAAATCTTTTTCTTCCCTTGAGTTTAGTGTTTTCTTCCCTTTAGCGTTTTTTATTGAATGAGTTCTGCAATCACGGTTAGTGATTCATGTTTCAAAGCACCAGGTCACAAAGCAAAGTAAACCAGTCACAAAGCACCGGTGCCTCGGGATTTTTTCTTAATTTCCGATAACCTTATCCGCCCTTGATATAATGTCATTATACTAAATTTAGTCATTGCTGAAAGCATGTCAGAATTTCTTATTCATATGGAGTTATTTGTATTTCATGCTGTTCTAAATGACAAATTTCAGATCCCTGTCACAATCTGATCTATTTTTTCTCATCTTTATTCTAAAATATGAAAGCGGAATGTAAATGTAGAACTAGAATCACATTATTTAATCTCTTTGGAAACATTTATGTTTTAAAGTCCACATCCATTATACAATTACCAAACTTTGTTCTTGATTTCTAAAGAAACTTTTTTTCCCCAGCACATTTGAAATATAGCATAATTTGTACGAATTCTAAAATTAAATAATAAAAATAAATTACTGATATTTGAATTAAATTTTATTCTATTATTTAATTGTTATGATGAAGTAAACTGCATTTTAAACATAAAGCATCTTTAACCTTATCGTATTTAATTAATTGGAAATAAAATATACATTTAGTTAATACTAGAAGATTATCCTTATGGGATGCACGCTATTAAATATTAACATGAGCAGAATTATTTCTCTTTCAAGTTATAAATAAAATACTTTTAATGAGCTTTTTTCATTTGTAACATCATATAATTAAATATGCAGTATTGCCTGTTTTATTGTTTACACATGTTTGCCTTATTTAGTTTTCTATAATTTTCTTAATTATATTAGTTTAAATCCAACAGGTTTATCATGTTTATCTTTTAAACTAACAAATTTTATCTTGTGAAAGATAACTGTGTTTAAATATAAAATTATTCTTTTCGGACATTTTGTATTTTCAGTCTAAGCTTTTGCTCTTTTCTGTTTTCATTTAACATTTTACAACAAATTAATTTTTTAATTAAAATAATATATAAACTTCCATAGTTATGGTATAATCTTAGTTTAAAATACTCAGTTTCCTTAGTTTAAACTTCTCTAGTCTGAAATAACAAAATACGCTACGGAGGAAAAGAAATGAAGTACATAGTCTTTTAGTAAATATTCATGTAACAGTTTAAAGTACTTCAAAAATTTTATTTTACTGCTCTAATATTTGCTAAAATATTATACATTTCTATAACCTACCATGTATGACAATACCTAACATTACTAAATCTAGGCCTGTAACTTGAGACTGCTAAAACAGCAACCGAGAGAAATTTTTTAAACTGAAAACATGAATATTTAATATTTCAAGCATTCATTTAGTAAATAATTATGAGATCAAAATGAAATCACTGGAGCTGTAGGGAAGAATATTTTACTCATCTTTTATGTATTATTCCATAGTTTGTTTTTTAAAGCTCTTAATCCTACTTTTGATGTTTCAGAAGTATAATTTTTATGACACATTTATACACAGGCTCAATATAAGCATGAATATTTAAATAGGGCTCTACATATATTTATTACAATAGTCTTTAATCACACATGTAAGTAAATATACTGTATATAACAAACCTTTTGTGAGAATGCATGATATGTAGTACTGATTCACGAATTCATATATCGGTCTATTGATTTTGTCAATTATTCATTGTAGAAACCATCATCATAATAGAATCCCCCATTGATCTGAGTGTTGAAAATTTGTTTAAGAATAATAAAAGCATTTTATAACACTTTCTGGAGTAAAAATGTTTGATTCTTTAGGGTTTGACCACACAAAATTCAGTTCAATCCGAAAAGAAAATTTTTCTATTTTTTCATAGCCCTATAAAAGACAATCATGAGGTTCCAAGAAAAAACATTGAAAATAAGGTAAAATTAATGTTATGAATTGCACATGCTTGCTGCTGCTGATTTTTTAAAATTATTATCTCATTGTTTTATGTCTAATATTTCAGAGAAATATTATTAGATTTATTTAGCTCGCATATAGATCTTTATGAACGATTTTGGAAGCCTACTGATAATATTAAGCCTATTGACTTAGAATACCTGGAATAAATGCAGTATCTTACCCACTGGCTAATGTACTAAATGAGTTACTCTGTCATTCAAATCAGTCATTTTCGCTCGTCATAGATTTCATGAGCACTCAAGATTTTAAAGTAATGCTAATATCATGCACTCGTGTTGTAAGCCGTGCGTTACGTATGGATTCTTAGCTAATCTCCAAGATTCTATGATATATGTACCAGAATTTCCAATATTTAGAGCTTTACAGAACCCAATTTTTAAGCATAGGATCTCTTATCTAAAATTATCTCCAAATAAAATCTCTTTTTCCTCAAATGCATATATGGCATTTTTGTGCCTAATTCAATTAATAAAAGGTTAAGTAATTCAATCTTTCAATCATTTTTATGTATAACTAAAACCTGTATATTTGATTCATGCTCTTCGCTTTCAAAATGTTTGAGCATGTAAAAGTTTTTTTTTTTTCTTTTATAGTTTACGTATGCTTTAAAACATATGCTTTAAAGTATTCTATTGAACTTTCTTATAATTTTAAATGATACACCGGGCGTTATTTATGTATAAATGCTAAAAGAAGTCTGTCTTCCCACTTGAATGATTCACAGATTTTTGCACAAATTTTTAAAACTTTTAAGTATTATTGCAAAGTTAAGTTTAGGAGATAATTTTACATATGTACACTAAACATATGAGTTAATTATTAAGACATATCAACAAACGAATATGCGTAGGTCAAAGTGGCATAAACAGTGCTGAAACAAGATGGGAAAAGAGTTTGCCGAGAAGGAGTCATTTCAGAATACACTTTAGAGAAAAAGCTAATTATTGTTACTTATCCAATTAATTTTCAAAAGAAAGGTTATTAAATGCTCGCATGATTGATACAAGTATCTCATAAATGGCAGATGTAACTTCCTAATAAAATGGTTTTCCGAGAATATTTGTATTTATTTTATGAAAAGAGTATTGTAAAGTGCAGAAAGCAATCAATGAGAGATCTTCCTGAGGACGAGAACAATCTCTAACAGAAGACTGTAAAAGAGAATATGCATGTATTAATTCACAATACAAAACGCACCATTAAAATAAAAACGTATTGATGGTATAAATAGTTTCACGTTATTAGAAACTGATTTTGGAAGCAAGCGATCCTCTCGTGTTCTGTTCATTTGTACTCTAAGCCGCAAATTTCATGTATGTATGTTGAAACCGAGAATCAGGTTCTAAACTAGAACGAGATAAGCAGAAATGGAACTAAAAGAAAATTAACTGACAAAATGTAGTTTCAGTTCATTTCAGTGCATTTATAGCAGAACGTGCTAGACTGTGCCTCACTAAACATGAAGCGACAGATAGAAGCTCACTAGTATTAACAGTTAAAAGTTGGCGGAAAAGATATTAAGACCTTAAGTATATTCTTTGCAGGCCTTTGAGCTCTAAATAGCTGTCTTTAAATCTTCAAACTTAACCTCCAATGACTACTAGTCAGGCACAACCTCCTCTTATTTACATGTGCATCTGACAGTTAACTTATTTCCAGTAGGATAATACTTTTGGGTTTATTTAATGAACAAGTGTCTTAAAATGCTTTGCAGAGTTTCCAGGAGCAAGACAGCTTGATATTACTGCATTGATCTCCACAATTCCTGGGCCTTAAACATGTGCATCATGTGTGAGATATACTTAAAAGGTGTCTTTTCAATAAATAGCTTCCTCTGTGATTATACTGTAATTGACGATGCTTAGTTATAATATTTATTTATTTAATTATGGTAAAGTATTCGAGGGCTCTCTTCCTAAGAGGAGGGATGCCTTTCTAAGGTAAGTGGCTCGTATACACGTTACAAAATGCCCCTGCAACCAGCCCGTTCGCGATTTGAACGTCGGACCGAGCTACCAGTGTTCAGCGACTTTACCGTTCGGCCGCTGGTGAGCCCTAGTGACAATGAAAAATATTTATTCAATTATTTCAATGCATTTTTTCAATCGTTTCTGCCCATACATAATGAAATCTGAAGCTGTTACTTTTAAAGTATTATTAATATATGCTAGGAACAACTTTTAGTTTGTTATTAAGCAGTGAAATCTAAGGTAAGTAAATCTAAGGCAATAAAGATCTTGAGAATGAATTTTAGAAAAATTTTAACATATTATAATAAAAGTATGAGCCTTACCTGATTTAAATAAAAGTAGTTATCAGCAGTCTGTAAACCATATTTTTCTTTTTCGGAATCCCCCAAACCACTTAACATTTCGTAGAATACGTGATAATTTCTTTCATCTGAAGCCTAGAAAAATAGAGAAAGATTGCTTTTAGGTTTAAAATTTTCAGTGTTTCTTATAATTTACCTTCAGTTCAACAAGAATAAAATAATTATTCTTTTTTTCTTTCGTCAGTTAAACTAGTAACAAGAGAACAAATTTTAATGGAAGCGAATGAGATGAGAGACTTCTTAAGTAAAATTAAAATCATTCATTTGTAATCTGTTAAAAAGAAAATTTACCTGAGTAACAATTCTTGATTTCTCTAAAAGATATTCTGTTGTTCTAGCACCAGTTATAACACCGCTGAAAGATTAAATTAATAAAACTGAAAGCAATATCAAGGTAATATATAACAGCTAATGCATAAAAACTAGCATACCTTTTAATTCAGGAAAAGTTATTAAAAATTCGCAAATTATAAGTAAGCAAGCTTTGACTGCATATTAGTATTGACATCTACGGTTTCTTAATACAAAAAATCAAATTAATAGAAAATATTGATTATATAAAAGTTCATATCTAAAATATTAAATTCTTCCTCGAAACAAACTGTTACGTATTTTTAACTCACTGTGTCTATACGTATGCAAGGTATAATGCCCTCATCTCGAAACCTATTTTTTTAGTGTCAACGAAATACGAGATTTAAAGCAGTTAAGATTACTTTCAGTATTCTCATCACAAGATCTGAAGCAGTAATGTCAGCAAATTAAAAGTCAGCTGCCGTTCTCAACCTGAAAACAAAGACAGCTTAGGCAGAAAACATATCATTTCATTCAGGTAGGATGCATTGTCGATAACTACATTTCCAGCAGAATTATTTTATCAATAGGAAGCTCTAAAATACCAGCTGAAAAGCATTAGTTTTCATTCTCCAATAAGAAGTAGAAAATGACGTAGGGTTATACGACCTAATTAACATCCGACAGTCAATGATTGGTTATGTTATCCAGATATTAAAGTTAGTTCAACCTAAGTGAGCTGACACGCCTTCACGGCCTAACAGTTACAGAACTTATTCTGAAAGAGTTTTCACTTCTTTACATGATGACTATCAGATAACACCAATTTTAGTAGTTTTACTTTCTTCCATTAAAGTTCCTTCAACAGTTCACTTATAAGTTAATAATAAACAAAATAAGGAAAGAAATAATAAACAAAAGTGATTGCATGAAAAGAACTTAGAAATATAATTTACTGCAAAATAACAATTCAAAATATAAAAGCAAATAGAAGTATATCGATAAAAGGGATTTTAAAAGAACTTAACCAGCAGGAAATTCGCTAAATATTTTCCGTGAAACGTCTCTTTTTATGTATATGACCTTGGATAGAATGATAGGTTCAGGAAATTGTATGCAAATTAATTCTCTTCTGTTTGAAAAGCAACAAAGGTAACTCAAAGAAAAAATAATCAATTAAATTTTAACTTACTCTTTGAAATGGACTTCCATGTATTTCCCAAATCTACTTGAATTGTCATTTCGGACTGTTTTGGCATTACCGAAGGACTCCAATAGAGGATTGGCCTCCAAGATTTGTTCTGTGATGAGGTTGCTTGGAGACTTATTAACAGCGGCCAGATACTGCATGATCAGCTTCGTACTTTCCGTTTTGCCCGCTCCGCTTTCGCCGCTATCCGGACAAGGAAGAAGAAAAACGACCCCGTTTTCATTAAGACCATGCACAGATAAAAATGAACAATTATGTATGAACCTTATTATGTATGCACTTGAATGCAATTAATGTCGCGTAGCGGGGGAGCAGCTTAAGATGGTGAATTTTACCCGCGATGGATTCGAAGCAAAACAGCATTTCGGAAATGGAATGCAAGATGTCCTGTTTAGATGTGCACTAAAACATTCGCATGATGCAAATATTTAGAATCACGCGAAGCTTATACAAGTGCATGCTCTAACTTAGCACGTACAGTGATTTTTTTTATTATTGCTTTCATATCCGTGTATTCTTGGATCACCACTTTATTGCAAGATAAATTGATCGATAAACTTCCATTAAAATTGGAGCCTTGATCACCAGACAGATCAACCTGTCGCTTTCCTGTGAAGATTTGTTGAAGTCCACTTGCACGCTATGCAGGAGTATAATCTAAGAATATGTGAAGCAATCAGTGGGGAAGGGCAGACATCAGAAGCCCTATCACACGGCAGAAGTTAGAATAATTTATTTTTTTAAATGTATCCTAATTTTTTTATTAAATAACTAAGAGGAACATCTCACAGTAAACTAAATATGATTGATTTCATCTGATACAGAAGTTTGATCACAAGTAAAACGCTCAGTATTCTCAAATGCAAAGCTGTAACTGGTCGATCCCTTCAACTGAATGCTGTACTTAACACTTTGTATTCTTGGATATTCAAACCTAAAAAAATTTGTCAAAGTTAAAAAAAAAAAAAAAAAAATGTTTCTTTGAAACCATGGATTTTGCGTATTTCACTGAAAAAGTATATATAGTTAGTGCTAGAACTTGTATCACATGAAAACGAAGTATTGATGAAACTTAGCATGATAGAGATAAAAAAGAAATGTGAACCGTTAGTAAATATAAAATTATACTTGTGGTAGTAAATATAAAATTATGTTTATGTAAATTTTGCTTAAACTGAATTTTAAACAATATGTCAAATGCTAACTTAAAATAATTTAAATATAATAAAATTTTGTTAAAACTATATTATAAAATTTCTAACATTCAAGTATTTATGGAACTTAGACATCTTTTTACGAAAGGGAATTCTTAACGGTATTAATTCAATATTTTTGTCAGTATGAGAGCAAATTAAAAATACAGCATACATTCAGCTGCTTTCGGTGATGATAAAGCAAACATTTTAAACTTGTGATCAACAGCAAAGTTATACTTTTATCTGTAATAAAATATAATTCTATGAAACGTAATCGAAATATTACACTATCCATCCTCCGAAATTAACTCAAAATGCGACTAGGCTTCCAATTAAAATATTCACATAACAGAATAAGAATGCCCTAATGTATTAATTTTATCAAAACATTTTTAAGATAGAAAATTAAAAAACAAATATCTGCTTATTTTCAAGAATTTTCCTGTTTATTTTCATGTTTCTATGAATATGCGTGTATCCTTTTTCCTATTCTTCATTCCTGAAATTTTCATTCATTCAGTAAGCAATTGTAAAGCATTTAGAGCAAAGAAACAGTAAGGTTTTACTATTATTTTACGGTAACGAGAAAAAAATATTTACCTAATGACAACAACCTGATTTTCATTATCTTTACTCATTTTTCCATAAGCAGAACTGCCAATAGCAAATAGGTGCCTGTAAAAATAAACATTGAGTAACACATGCAGAACTACAGTGGATGGACAAAAATATAGAAACACCTTGTGAAATGCATGTTTGAAAAGAAAGATTGATTTTAATGAAATATGTAGGTGGCGCTGGCGTTTTTGACTACTGACGCCACCTATACAACTTCGTAAATGTGCTAAACAGTTCAGTTGTTGGAGTACTGTTATGTGAGGTTGTCATTGCATTATGTCAGAGTTAACAGACTTCGAACATAGGCAAATTGTTGGAGCATGTATGGTAGGTGCTTCCGTAAGCAAGATAGCCGAGGTGTTTAGTGTTTCAAGAGGTACTGTATCGAAGATTTATTCCGCATATTTGAAAAGCGGAAAAACATCATCTGCTAAATCACAGCGCGGACGAAAGTGTGTCCTGAGTGATCGTGACAGACGTTCATTAAGGGCAATTGTGACGAAAAATAAGAAGACCACAGCTGCAAAAGTTACTGCTGAAATGAATGTTGTGTTACCGAACCCTGTGAGTACCAAAAGAATTAGAAGGGAGGTTCATTAAACAGGGAATTGCTGGCCGTGCTGCAATTGAGAAGCCACTCATCAGTGATGATAATGCCCGTAACAGGAAAAGGTGCTGTCTAAGTCATAAAGCCTGTATTATAGCAGTGGAAGCGAATAAATTGGTCTGACGAGTCTTCTTTCACAGTGTTTCCCACTTCTGGCCGAGTTTACGTCTGGAGAACGCCATCTCAAGCCTATAATACAGACTGCTTGTTGCCAAGAGTGAAACATGGCGGGGCTTCTGTTGTGGTTTGGGCAGCCATATCGTGGTTCTCTGCTAGCCCTATGATAACTGTGTCAGGGCACATGACTGCCAAGACTTATGTGAACATTTTGGCCGATCAAGTTCATCCCATGGTACAAACTTTGTTCCCCGATGGTGATGGTGTCTTCCAAGACGACAAAGCCCCTGTTCACACAGCTCACATTGTCCAGGACTGGTTTTCTGAGCACGAGGATGAGTTATCCCATCTCCCCTGGCCACCACAGTCACCAGACCTAATATTACCGAACCTTTGTGGTCTACATTGGAACGGAAAGTGCGTTCTCGTTATCCACCACCAACATCGTTATCTGAACTTGCCACCGTTTTGCAGGAAGAATGGTATAATACTCCCTTGGCAAACATACAGGAACTGTATTTATCCATTCCGAGAAGACTGCAAGCTGTTTTGGATGCCAACGGGTTTCCTACCCCATATTAAACAAAGAAACATGTTTTTTTAAAGGTGTTTCCATATTTTTGTCCAACCCCTGTATATTTATCTACGAAAAAAATTTGTGTTAATAGTTTCATAGCATATTTAGCATTTTAGATAAATATTAAATTAAAAATAATAACTCTTATCTGTTTATTTTTATAAACAATTAAGTTTACAAAATTTAGTATTTGACATTATCGGGACTGTTTATTTTCCTGATGATACACTGAATTCCTGCTTATTCCTGAAGTACACTGAAGTGCCACTGAATTAGGAATAGCTAGTCAATAACGACTTATCCTCTGGCCTTAATATTGGCTGCCACACGACAAGCATTTTACGGGAATGGCTAGCCAAACCTCGGATACAGCTGTAAAAAATTTAGGAAAGGTCGCTAGTGTTCTGTGATGTGGTTTCACTCCTTTCTCCAGAACATCCGAAAGGTTCTCAGTAGAATTTAATTCAGGGCTTCTGGGTAGCCAATTTATGACAGAGATGTCAGAGGAATGCTCATCCAACCAGGCAGTAGCCAACCGGAACCTGTGACAGGTACAGTTATTGCTAATATACTCCATTTCCGTGTGAATGACAGAACAACATAAGTGGATGGAGATAATCCCCCAACAACTCTACGTACCGAATTTTATTAACTGAGGATGGTACAAGTACCAAAGCTCCCAAACAATGCCAAGAGAAAACACCTCAGACCATGACTGAGCCGCCGTGGCCTTTTACAGTTCCAACCTGGCATGCAGGATCCATGGTTTTATGAGCCTAACGCCGTAAGAGTATTCTCTGTGTTCTATTTCCCAGCCAAGAGGTGCAGGTATTCAGTATGTATTCAGTAATGATACTCTCGTGGGTCTACGGCTCCCGAAGCCCATATGGTGAAGCGAGCGTTGCACGATCCATTTACTGACTATATGACTGACGTCCTGATTCAACTGGGCGATAATCTGAGCTAATGCTTGGCTTCGTTGTAAAATACGGCTCAGCAGTCTCACACTGCGCTCCCCCGAGGCTAACTGTCCTTTGCAATTGGCCAGATTGCTAGTTCTTTTTCCCACTATCCGTTTATTCTTAGTGTATTCTTGACACTATCGACTTTGAAAATCCTAGCCCTATAATGATTTCGGAAGAATGGCCTATGCGTCGAGAGCCTACTATCTGTCCGCGATCAAAGCTGTTTAAATCAGAAGTTTTACCTATACTGGTAACTGAAACGACTGATTAACAACAACCACAGTACAAGCTACATATGTTGCCACAACAACGTCCTCACGTGAGCATAAATGCGGCGCAGCATATAGCCAGCCATGTCTAATTAATTCAGTGACACTTCAGTGTAGATCATTTCAGAAAATACCGCTAAAACTTTCTTAGTCTAATGGCATCATATACATGGATATTCATTCTAAAGTACTAACTGCTCAAGTGAAATAACTATTTTCATTTAATCACTAAATAATCTACAGTTAAATTTAAATTGTAAAATTTGCTTGCACAATTTACTTACCTCATTTAAACTCCTATTATTCTATCAGAACTAACTATTCTAAAACATTTCTACATAGTTACCTACCGAAGTACATATTATGTTCACAATTAAGAAGAAAACAAGAGTACAATAATTTAAAAGAAAGCAGAAAGCTGAATAATCGGTAAACCTTTTCCCGTAAAAGTGAAGGGATGATGTAAGAATTTCACTACTGAAATGCTCTAATAATATATTTTATTAAAGAACCGATAGTTACGTGTGAACACTTACTTTTTTTAAAATTTTAAAAATCACTTTCTCTTCGAGAACAGAACTACCGTAATATTTCGAAAACATAAAAGGATAAGTAGACATATAATAGAACACATTCAAAAATTTCTCTGTAGAACTAAGCTGAGATAAATTTCATAACTATTTTAGAAGCTAAAAGACGTACAAATAATAAATAATATGTATTAGGTTTGTGTCGCAACTTTCACACCAGACAATGAAAAACGTTTCTCTTGCCCTAAAAGAACTATTTAATATTTTCTTCGTCCAAGCAAGAAAATCAAACTTCCAATGAATAATACAGTTTCATTTTACCTAAGACATTAATTAAAAGCTAAAACATCCAAAAATAGCTGAATAACAGAAGTCTTCTATTGATCGAGAGTTAAATTTCAGTTAGCTTATTAATAACACTCTTAAGTATAAGATATTCATATTTACACAAGGAAAAGTATATATGAATACTAAATTAAGGGAAAATACTACACGGAAGCACTCAGTTATGAAAAATTTATATAACTGCGAAAAAGAACTTTGCTAAAACAAGCAAGGTAATTAATCAAACCAACCATAAAAGCAAATATTCATCTTTCCTCAATAGTATGAGAATAGTTTTTTACATTTCCTTAACAGTGCAAGCTAAAATGCCATAGAAACCAAATGTCCAGGGGTAAGACAACAGGTACAAAAATACTTTTTCCATTTAACTCAAGATCAAATTTCTGCGATATAAACAGACAATAATCAGGTAAAAAGTAAAAATTTTCAGCTCAAGGCTGAGCAACAAGGAATGTATCATGCAAATACAGACATGAGTCACAGCTGCAGGAAAATCTCACATAGCAGGTAAGAATAGAATCTCTTTTCTCTTAGCTTTTGTTGACCTTTATATTTTATTATTATAAAGGGAAGTATTGTTAGAGAAACTAATTATCTATATCATTAATTTACTTAGAATATTTTGTGAATTACACATTGCTAAACTTTAAAACAGAAGTAAATTAGAAATGCTTATTATTAACCAGCAGCATATTTCTAGTTCAAAGCGTACTATACATTGCTTGGAATGCCTATTTAAAATATGCCTATTGTACATAATTACACTTATTGGAAGCATGCTATCAGAGTAAGGAATAATGCGAAATATATTAAATGCTCAACAGATTAAGGAATAATGTAAAATATATTAAATGTTAGGAAGTATTAATTCTAAAAATGCAAAAATATTAATTCTTAGAAATAAATTAATCGAATTAAAACAATTTTTTAAACGTTAGTGTGTGCATATTAATTTCAAGCGAATAACAATTTTAACAGCTTCATCAACCATTGCAAAGTGACAAATGTAAAGTCTATATAGGTATTTTTCAATTATCAGAAATTTTATTGTCATTTTACTGGCGTTCATTAGGAAAGAAGAACAACGAACGATACATAGCTAAAACTGCGAAAAGCTGATAGTTCGTTCGGATTTGTTTCCTTGGCGCAAAACAAGCTGCCACAGGAAGCGGTTTTATAGATTTCTTTACATGTACCGCAAATATGAATATTTTTTTTTTCTAGGAAGCAATGTGCGATAGCATGCTTCCAATTAGGTTGATAACCATCAAGGGTTTTCCCGTAATCAATTTAATGAACAACCTCAAAAATCATAGTAATTTTGGTAGAAGCTTATATTTCAGCTTGCTGTTCTTTAAGATAATTCAATGAATAAGACAAACTATAAATTTCGCCAAAGGAAGAATTTGCACATCACTGACTGAAAAAAAAAAAAAAAAAAAAAAAAAAAAAAAACTGTAGAGTCATTAGGTTATTTGAAGCAGGAGACATGAAAAATAAGCAATGCTCTCGAGCCTAGACCTCAAGAATATGCGCCGAGTGTGCTACATTTACACCACAAAGGCAGGCTGAAAGGAGGTAAAAAATACCTTATAAAACTTTTTTGATAAATTCATCCTGTTTAAACTAATAAATAACCCCTTCCTA